GTGAGCCCAGCGGACATTGATCACTATGTAAGACATATAACTGAGTCAATCAAGTCTTCAGCAACCTATAAGGCTAAGAGTAAGAGAAAAACACACTGGTGGAGCAATGAGTTGGAGCAAAAGAAGCATGAAATCAGGAGGCTGCGCAGGCAATGGCTACGAGCCGAGAACAGTGACCAGAAAGAGCAAAAGAAAGAAGCCTATGGCAAAAGCTTAAAAGACTATAAAAAAGCAATAAACCAAGCCAGAACCAGAGCATGGAAGAAATTCTGCACCGAGACCTGTAACGATCCCTGGTCTCAATCATATCACATTGTCTTTGGGAATAACAAAAAGGCCACTATCCCCAATCTCACTAAGAAGGATGGCACCGGTACCTATAATATTCTTGCAAATATTGAGAAACTACTTGAGAATCATTTCCCAAATGATAGCATAGACAATGAGCTGGATATGTATGAGGAAGTAAGGAATAACATCACTGTCCCCCAGAACAGCAAGGATGACCGTTGGTTTTCGTTTCGAGAAGTAGAACATATGGTAAATACTATGGCCAGCAAGAAAGCGCCGGGCATTGACAATATCACTGCAGAAATGGTGAAGGCAGCGTTTCAAGAAATCCCTATTGCTTTCATGATACTGTATAATGCCTGCCTAAACCACGGCTACTTCCCAGAGCTGTGGAAGAAGGCAAATGTTAAGTTTATTCCAAAAGTGGACAACCCAATTATGGAATGTGACTACAGGTCCATCAGCTTGTTGCCAACAATGGGGAAATCCTGGATGGTCTCCTCATTGGCAGAATAAACTGGCACTTGAGTAGCAACAACCTGCAGCATAAGAACCAATATGGGTTCCGCCCTGGCCATCCACGCAATACAGGGTGTAAAGGATTTTGTTAACCAGGCATGGGACAGCGATAGACATGCTCTGCTGATAAGTGTTGACTTTAGAAAGGCATTCGACCACCTATGGTGGCCTTCCATATTGCATTGTTTGTATCAAACTAACTGCCCGAGCAACATATATAGGTTGACCAACAGTTACCTGGAAAATAGGACTGTGGGCTATTACTCAAAAACAATTAACCTGGAAAAGAGTATTAACAGAGGCTGCCCACAGGGATCCAGAAGTGGCCCAGGACTCTGGAACCTAGTATACGATGGCCTGCTTTGCAGCCTTGACTCGGACCCAGATATCAAGGCACAAGGTTTTGCTGACGATACGCTGATAATGATAGCGCATCAGAATAGTAACATACTACAAAAGAAGGCTAATGAGGTTCTAGAGCTGGTCAGCAACTGGAGCAAGAAGAACAAACTCCCGATCAATTATAATAAAAGTGAAGCAATGGTGTGCGCAAAAAACTCCAGGAGGAAGCAGCTACAGCGCCCATTGGTCATTTACCTGGACAAGAAAAAACTAAAAATTGTGTCTTGCCTTAAATACCTTGGGGTTTACTTAGACCCAAAGCTAAGTTGGAAGATCCATATCACAGAAATCTGTAAAAAGGTTCAGCAGAGAGTAAACCTCTTCAACTACATCTCCAGAAACACCTGGGGACTTGTAGTAAGAACTGTAAATTAATCTACAGGGGAGCGATAGAACCTGCTATTCTGTATGCGGCGCAGGTCTGGGGGGACAGAGCGGCATTAGCCTATAACAAGAGGAAATTACTGTCTGTCCAGAGACGTGCTGCTATTAGAATCTGTAGGGCATATCGCACGGCCCCTACTGATGCGCTGCTGGTTATAGCTAACATTATCCCCATTCACCTACGCATTAAAGAGATCTTCTGGCAGTGGAACATGATGACCATTAACCATCAGAATATTACCACCGAGGAGATACGGAATCTCTGTAGCAAGGATTTGATTCCTCCTAATAGTGCGAACTTGATTGACTCCATTATTAATTACAAGTTAGACAATTATCTTACTGGAAGTACTCTCGGAAGACACCCAGGAGAGACGAGTAGCTATACCATTAATGTCAGGAACAATCATTATAGCAACAGCAGAGCCCACTGGAACATCTACACAGATGGCTCACGCAATGATAAGGGTACCGGTGCAGCCTTCGTCATCTATGATAGTGAGAATGAGATTCAGCATCAGCAATATTACCGGCTGCACATGCATTGTACTAACAACCAGGCAGAACTGCTAGCGGTTTATAAAGCTCTAAGCACCATCACTAAAAATAGGAGGATCTACGATGGCAGCATCTGTATCAACACAGACAGTATGTATGTGATTAATGTCCTTTCGAACAATAATAAGTGCACAAGAACTGGCATGGAGGTCAGACATCTTGCCAGAAACCTCAGCAAATTTGCTCAACTCAGTTTTACCTGGGTGCCTGGGCACACGGGTAATAAAGACAATGAGCACGCTGATGCCCTTGCTAAAAAGGTCACCACAATGGACATCACCACCACTTTTTCTAATATTCCCATCGTCCATATCAAGAACAACATCAGGGACTGTATAATGGAGGGGTGGCAAAAGGATTGGGCTACCTCAACCACTGGCAGAACCACCCACAAGTTTCTTCCGTCGATTAATAAAAGACAGGCTCTCAGCTACTTCACCATTTCTCATGCCATCACGCAATGCTTGACAGGTCATGGTAACTTCTCCTCTTACCTTACAAGATTCAAAAGGATCAATAATGATAGGTGCAGTTGTGATGGCATCTCTGAAGGAGACGCTCTCCATTACATCTTTCACTGTATGCTGTACGAAAGATGAAGAACTCACGAGAAGAACTCACGAGAAGAACTCACCTACCACTGTTTACGGAAGGGATTCGGTTGGCCTCCTGAACCCAACATTCTCTGCGAGGATCAGGAGATCTATGAGCTGTTTGCCAAATTCGTAAACTCTTGTAGTCGCTTCGAGTATAATTCCGGCCTACGTCAAACCTAATTGGTTCTTCGGACTCCATCTGATGCAACATGCGAAGATCCCTCTGCTATCTCACTCTGTACTGACAGCCGGTGGGATCACCACTCTCGTCACTAGCATTTTTGGTTGGTTGACTGGTGAGATTGCCCACTGGTCTTCGTTGCCTGCTTCTGTGCAGCAACAGTCTTGCACTCTGTAGGTGTTTCCCATGGTGTAACATGTAGCGTCTCTTGTACTGGACATAAATTGCATCTGTGACCATCTGTGCTTCGCTCCAGTCAGCAGTCTCGTCACCTTGGTCTTCTGTTATCACAACATTGTCCTTTATATAACACTCTATCTGTGTAATACCTGTGTTTAGTGTACTGTAGTATTTTTCGGTCGGGATTACCAGTGGCGACAGGCCACTGCCATGTACGCTTTGTTCTGTATTTACTATTGTAACCGTCTAGCCGGAAAGGCAATCTTTAAGTTGTTTGCACCAACTACTGTTTTCTTTTGTAAGTGCAATGCTAATCAGGATTGTGATCCCAAACTCTACCTCCACTTTCTACCTCTTTTTCCCCTCTTCTATCCCATTACCTCCCATACCCCTCACTCATCCCTCTATAACCTCCCCTTTTCACATGGCTAAGTCCAACTAGGACAGCTATCTCAACTTTACTTTCAAGTATTACTAATACAAAAGCCATTGTCTGTGTGTGTGTGTGAATTTCTTATAACTTTTGCAATTTTTGTATAATCCAGATGAAATTTTGTTTATATTCGTTTCATGTTCTGACAGTATAGGCTATTTATTTTGCAGAAATATTAGCTATAGAATAAACATTTTATGAATTTTGGATTGGTGATTGTATTTATGTTGCAATGATGTCAGTGACCACGCAACATTCATGCTTGACAAGGAAATTTCCCTTAAGTTGCATTTTTAAATATTTTGGCAAATGGCTTATTTTAAACTAATTAAATCTAAAATTTAAACTTTAAAAATAATTGCCATATCATGTCACTTCTATAACAAAATTTTAAAAAAAAAATCTTTCCATAGTGACCACATGACATTCTATTATCCAATCAGAAGTAACAATCTAATAAGCCCATTATTCAGAAAGTGTTATTGTTCATCTAATTAACATAAATACAATTCATCTTTGTTTATCAACATGGAATTAAAAAGACTTGCTATTTTGTTGGGAAAAAAATACCGGAGAAGTGTAAGCATATGAAAATCAGATCTAAAGAATAAGAACAACTGAGACCCCTGAAGACAGTGAAGTCTGACTTGAGCAACATCAAGTAAGAAAGACTTTGTCAAGGGCTGCAGAAACAGCATCACAATGTCAAGCCCAACTTGAAGCTCTTCTCAATTCTTCAATCTCCACTTTTTCATAAAAAATATTCAGTCATGCTTGACAGGAAAATTTCTAGTATACATAGATTATATTAGGATAAAAGCCACAAATCATATCAAAAGTTGTGGTTGCATTGCTGCATTGCTACCTGATCACACACTAGAAGAACATCAAAATGCAGTCTGTATTACATTGCAAATATTCCCCAAACTCAAGAACAGTAATTCAATCTAGAAAAATATATTTCTTTCTAGACTATACATACAAATGAGTCCAAATCCTTCTGTCCTTTCATATGCTTTGCAGAGGCAATAATAAATCTATGGCGAAACCGACCTTTTATTATATTAGGCTACATGTTCACCTTAGATTTGTTATTGCCTCTGCAAAGCGTGTAAAAGGACAGAAGGATTTGGACTCATTTGTATGGTCTGGAAAGAAATATATTTTTTCTAAATGTGAATTCATCCTGGCAATTTTTTAAAGTAATTCAATCTCTTTTGAAACATTGTTTTCTACATATAGTATAGTCAACTGCATGGCTAAGTGAAAGAGGAAGGTCAAAATTCCAATTTCTTCAATCCTAAAGTATCTGGGGAGTCTGATATTAAAATTAAAGGTACAGGCCAAAATTACACTAACATTTATAAATAAAGAAAATATTTAATACATTCCACAAAAACTACACACTTTTGTTTATTTCTCGACATAATCACCATAAATATTGAGACATTTATCCCAGCATGACACAAGTTTGAACATCTCTTCACAGTACTGTTGCTTGTCATGTTGCTTGAAGTAGTCCAGAATGGTATCTTCAAATTCCTCTTGATCGGCAAAGTGTTTCCCCACCAAAAATTTCTTTAAAGGTCCAAATAAATGAAAATCCAACGGGGGACTAAATTTAGACTATACGGAAGATGTTGCAAGACCTCGCAATTCCATTGTGCCAACCACAGTTTGGTTTGATTTGACATGTGGAGTATAGTTCAGATTTAGCCCTCTCAGATTTTCATTTATTTGGACCTTTAAAGAAATTTTTGGCAGGGAAATGCTTTGCAGATCAGGAGGAATTGGAAGGCACTGTTCTGGACTGCTTCAAGCAACATGACAAGCAACAGTACTGTGAAGGGATGTTCAAACTAGTGTCACACTGGGATAAATATCTCAACATTTAAGGCGATTATGTCAAGAAATAAACAAAAGTATGTCATTTTTGTGAAATGTATTAAATATTTTCTTTATTTATAAATGTTACTGTAATTTTGGCCTATACCTTTAATATTAGATTTCCCTCATACATCACAATTTCCTTTTCTATAATTCAAGAATGGGATTATCTTGCTTTCAATGCCATTTTCTATACTTGGCATTGACAATAGAAGGAATACGCTAAAGAGGGAGTCAAAATTTGAATTTACAGAATTTTCCATTCAGACCAAAATGTTATCAATAACAATGGTGATCATATTGTATTTTTTTATGTAATTTCAATATTCATACTGTAACTTTAAACAAATACATTAAAGTGACTCAGTTATCATATTAATATTCATTTGTATTTAAATAGAAGGTTAATCTTTACCTATCTGCACCGTCATGGCCACACAATGGGACCCACGTTCTAACCTAACCTAACCTATTCTAATAAATTACCAATGGTAATTTATTAGAAGGTTAGAAGATTCACATAGGTAAAGATTAACCAAATGGAATATATCGTTGTACATATAAGTAAAGGATTATCTATTTACTTTGTATAAAACAATGAATTTCATTAAAATCTGGCGATAAAAATAGCGCGATATATTTTGTATATAAAAACACTCTCTTCTTAATGTTAAAAAAAAGATATATTCAAAATATCAATGTTAATTGAAAAATATGATTTCGCATTCATATACATGCGCCCAATTGAATTTAACGATGTAAACATTACAGAAAACAAGACCTACAAGTATACAAAAAGCATAAGTGATAATTTACATTAATAATTTGATAAAAAATCCAATTTTTAACGCATGTATCTATAGAACAGATTTTTCCATAGAATTTACCATTTCACTTACTATTTTGTTTTCGTGAATAACGAATACTTCTAATCTATCTAAAATTTCCTCTTCGTTCAGAGAACCCGCCATAATATAAATACAAAACAAGTAAAACGTGGAAGGTTGCCAGATCAAACATTTTGTATATAATAATGTTTATAAAAATTATTACTTCTCGTTTTCTAAATGTTATACTATTTAATATTTTCGTTCAAAAACTAAAATTTTATTTTACTATAGTATATTCCACTTAATTTGGCTGCATTCGGAAATAAATCATTAAGCCCAATTACGAAGGCATTATCGCTATAAGCTTTTCTCGATATACTTTTTCCACAGTATTCTAAAAAACAGTGGTATAATAATGTATAAAATAAAAAGAGATGTTTACTAAAAAATAAATTAAGTAAAGACATAATTTTTATTTTAATTACAATTGTTGAAAATCATCGGAAGGTGAACACGCGTAAGAAGAGAACGCACTATCACATTCATACAAGGTATAGTGTGATTATGTTCTAATTTTTAAATAAACAATGATAAGTAAATGTATAAATTTTATTACCACAATATACCGCTAAATATAAGTTCTCATAACCTAAAAAATGGCAACTAGCTATATCATAAAAGATATAACATTTTAAATTTTTCAATAGCCTAAACTGGCCCAACCTGGCGACCTTCTTTTTCATTGGATGTTAAGCAGCTAAGTAAGCAAATTAACGATACGTTACGTATGAAATGGATTATGCCATTGATTTGCTTACTTAGGTTTGCTTTTCACGGTTTCATCAAAGAACTTCCTGCAAATTTAAAACAGTATTCCTGCAAATTTAAAACAGTCTTGAGTAAAAAACCAAATCAGCAAACACCAAAATTGCTTTGTTTCTATTCCAATCTAACTTATTTTAGGCCTAGCAAATTAGATATAATTTATAAAATGATCTGATTACCACCATAATAATTATCTCCACAGAATGTGGGTGTGGTCACTCTTAGCTTCATTTCTCCCCATAGACCTTACTGGCATGGGTGTCCCTACCAGGAGCTTATGCTCCAGCCTGCATTGCCCTATGGATCAGTAAAATTACTGGGCTCTCCCACCACGACCAGGTGGTGACCACGGGAGAGAGATTGACAATTATTATTATTATTTTTTTTATTTTTGTATTGCATTAAGTTGAAGGATGGCTTCAACTTAATGCAATTCAGAGGCCAAGTGGATAAAACCATTAAACACTGGTAGTTAGTCGCGGGTTATCTCCTCGCTAACGGGCTAGTCAAGTGGAGTTTTTCAAGTTTTTTTCACATTTTGTAATACTTAATTATGAACCAGTTTGCTTTAGAAAGTCGTTCCGGAAGACATTCCCTAAGCAGATCGTCGCGTTATTTTAAACAAACAAACCAAACAATACGCGGCCAAGGTGGCAGCCCACCGCTC